CCACGGTGCCATAAACTGCAGCTCCTTGCCATAAACCCCTGCTTCCAGTAGGAGCAGGTGGGTTTTTGGGTCTCAGCTGATGACCCTGGCCATGGGGTGAACAGAGACACCAGGCTTTATTTTTAGAGGAACAGGGCTTGTTCCCACCAACTCCTTTCTCTTATTGCAATCCCCACTGCACTGACATCCCTGAGCTGGGAAACCATCTAACCTGAGAAATAAAGAGTGCCTCAGCCTCATGGATGAGGGAGGCAGTGGGTCTGTCCTGATTTTGTTAATGAAGAGGCCCTGGGAGCAGACGAGCTTGCCTTTGCTCCATATTTATGCCTAGCTGGTGGTCGGTCCCACACTGGGATGTAATCAATAAGCTGTGTGCCCGCTTGGGCTCATTGTGCTTCCACAGTCACAGGCAGCCTTTCCGCGCCTTGCCAGTCCCATAGCTGTGAGCGTGTGTCTCCGCGTCCTCATTCCTCCTCCCCCAGCCCTTACAGAGTTACAAGCTACTAGAGGCTGGAAGAAAGTCAGGTTCTGCACAATGTGAGATGGGGGAGCTGGTGCCAGCCCTGCTTTGCCTCCATCACCCAAATTCCTACACTGCAGAGGAGGCACTTTCAGGGTGCAGGTGCTGCAGGAAGGAGCAGGAGCCCCAGAGGCACCAGCCGGAGCGACTGGCTACCAGGGTCTGGCTCTGAAGGACAGCAAGAGGACGCCAGTAGCCACAAATAACTTGAAAAGAAGAAGGAAAGGGGTTAGCTTGCCTTGTACCAGCTCTGCTCAGCCCCAGATGCAGGCAGGGACTCTCACTGGAGTGCTAGGGGCTACCTGCAAAGCCGATTTTCGTCCTTTGTAAGAAGGCATCCCTCCCCAGCCCCTTCCAACAACCTGCTCTGTGCTCTTGATGTTCTTGTCAGCCGCCTTTATAACCCCAGCTTCCTACCCCTCCATCCCCCAGATGCAGCCAGGAGGAAGAACCAGACATCTCCAAGCCTGCCACACACACACAAACCCACACCCCCCGACACATCTGGCCCTGGGGCCCCCCAGTGCTGCAGGGCAGGCAGGGGGTCCCGTCCCGCAGCGCGTGCTGCCAGCCCCCTCTTGTGCTGCTGCTGCAGAACGGCCCTGGCGAGGTACAATGGAGCCAGAGGCTTTTGTGCAAGAGGTTGCTGAGATCCTGCTCCCTTGGGGCACCGGGGTTTTGCTCCTGGCCTGGCTGCCTGCCCGTCCTCCCGCCCCAGGGGAGCAAGGCTCAGGCCTTGTAAGCTAAAAGATTGGAAGAAACAAACCCTAAAACCACCTCAGGCCAATGCAGACACCCCCATATCATAGACCTGTGCACGCACGTATCCAGTTACACACAGCCACAACGGCCAAGGTGGGTTTGCACCTCCGTTCATCCCAGTTCTCAGCCCCAGCGGCACAGGAGCTTCAGCCAGAGGCAGAGAGGATGAAGTGGGAGCCAGTCCTCTGGTGCAAAAGGAGCATGGCTTAAAGTCATGTAAGGCACCCCATTCGAGGGCTGAGTGGTGGGTTTGAAAATCCTTCCCAGCAGCAAATCAGGGGAGACTGAAACAACCCCATCGCATTCCTCATCTGTGGGCACTTCCCAGGAACAAAGCTGGGCTGGAGCAAGATGGGGCTGGAGACCTGGTGCCAGTGGAGATCCCACCCTGGTCCACAGCACAAGGAGAAGGTCAGTGGGAACCCAGAACTAACATCTTGGCATCGACATGCC